TTCTAATTTCTACTCTGAAAAAAAAAAAAAAACTCTTTGATGTATGTGGTGGACTTGAAGTATAGGACCCAAGAAGCCGCTTTTCTATCTGTGAAAGATCTGACAAAGAGAAAGGCACATGAACCCGGATTACATCATCTATCCAAGCCACCTCACATAGAGGACACAGAGATGTGGGTTCGGCAGCAGCAGCCTGTGAGCATGTTGCTGCGGTGCCTTTATCAGAAAGAAAATTGTGGTATGGCGGGGGCTCATCCGCTGGGTGGAAGGAGGAGGAGTCCTGGGTAGGATCTTCTGTACCTTTAGAAGCAGGCGTACGGGAGGTGAGAGCTAAGAGGGCTTGTGTAGGAAAGTAAGAGTTGCAGAGAGAGAGGGCTTGGAATGTAGAGAGGAGAAACCCTGAACATAGGATATCTCTTTCCATTTTCCCAAACGTTCACAATAGTTGAAAAGATACCTGATAATATTGGGATTTAAAGTGCCGTTAAGCGTCCATTTAGAGTATTGAGGCCAGATCTGATTGCACAAATGCGTAAGTTTTAGGGGGTTTAGGTCCGGGATGTGAGAGACCCTAGGTTAGCTAAGAGGCAACCTAGAGGACTATGGAAGGGAATGAATGAGGAGTAGCCCATGGTGAGACGTAGGAGGCAAGTTTAGAGGTGGGGCGTCCCCCAGTCTCAAGTATCACCCAGTCAAGAGGTTGGTTACGCTCAGGGGGTCGTCACCACTACTGGGTAAGTGTTGGGGGCAGGGCCCATAGAAGCACTTGGGCGCCTGGCAGGGACTACGTAGAAGGAGCAGAAGCCGTAGGCAGAACCCAAGGCTGAGAGATCTCACCAGGAACAACTCCCAATCACCCTTGGTGGTTTTTCTCAAAACCCAGGACCCAAATAAAAGACCACCTATAGACCTGGTCGGCAGTAGTGACCAGCCATAGATGTTAAAGCTATGGCTGGGGGTGCCCCTGACCACACGGTAATCCTGGGAGTGCTGGTGGATTGATGGTCACTTCCTGGGAATTTAGTAGATCATTTAGGTAAACTGGAGACAGGGGTCTTACCTGAAATGTCTGGTAGTGGGTGCAGAGAGGGCATTCAGCAGAATAGAGGGCCTGATTCCACAATGGAATTCGGATTGGGGCTCGGGGACACTCAGTGACCCTTGAAGAGGGGAACGAGCACATGGGGAACCCAATCCAGGGTTTCGACACCAATGAAAAAAAAAGTGAGGAACTGGGAGATAGGTGAGTGAGAAATGAAAGATGGAGACCAGGCAGAGATACACGCGAGAGTTCATTTGTCAGAGCTGACAAATAAAGGAACATCTCTCCATAGATGGAGAGAGGACATACAGGCTTGGGTTCTGTGACTTTTATGGGGCAGGTCAGGGATTAGAGCAGAGTAGGTCTGAACACAGGTGGTAAAGGGTTGGGTTGGTATAAGGGAATGGTGAGCGTTTCTCAGAAAGGCCTTTGGGCAGAAAAGTGAAACTTTTTCTTAAGATGTCAGCTGTCACTTAAGGTGGCCATCCAGGTGCTAAGCAAGGACCTTACAAATGTGGATCCCCAAAACAGCATTTCCTGGGTGCATTCACTTCTCAATGGTTCCAGCACACAGCACCAGATCTGTCCTTGGTGCCATGTAAAGATTTAAAGAAAATTCTATATCATCCTTTCTAATCTCTGAAATCAAGACACTGGAACTCTAGGGAAGCAAGAGAGTGCTCTGGGGTGTGTGAAGAATTCTCTTCTCATACTTCACAGTTTGGAAAGTCACTTTCTATTCAGATTTCATTGAAACCAGTTTTTTTGACCCCAAAACAAATTGTAGTTGGAAGTTCTGCTCTTCTTTCAACACAGACTTAGCTAGGATCTTGCCTTCTTTCTTTAGAGAACAATTTCTCTTTATAGTTGGGTCTCTGGATATTACACCTTCCCACTATCAGTGACTAAAATGACTCACAGTGTTACTAGCAGCCTACCCCAGGGACCCTGCCTAGATCACTGCTGGCAGGATTCACCCACCTGTATTACTCATATGCATAAGACATAAGCAAATAAGCAGCTAGATTGCTTCTCTGTGGGCCCCACAAAAGCAGTACAATTTATAGAAACAAAAGCCAAATGATATGCTAAACATGATTTAGTTAGCCTGTGCTAACCAAGCTGGGCAAGGGGCAATCTCCATTCTCAGCTACTTTGATATCCCCCAGGCCCAGGAGTAGGGTGGGGTAGGAGAGGACTTCACCTTTTACTCTCAGCATTGCAAAGTTTTCCTTAAGTTCAGAGGAGTCCTTGGTTTCAGTCTGTTTCAACAGTTCTTTCTAGTTTTCTTTCATTAAATAAAGCAAAAATAGGGACTGGGGTTGTAGCTCCATGGTAGGGTGCTTCCCTAGCAGGGCTGAGGCACTAGGTTTCATCCTCAGCACCACATAAAAATAAATAAATAAAATAAAGGTACTGTGTCCATCTACAACTAACTAAATAAATAAACAAAGTGAAAGTAATAGGCCCTCTGTCTTTGTCAGGGACCCAAGGCTATTAACCTTTTGTAGAATCACACACATCTGCATAGGTTGCACTGAGATTAACACCTTGCACAGAAAGTCAAAGTAAAGCAGGCACAGTGGTGTACACCTATAATCTCAGCTATTTGAGAGGGTGAGTTCAAGGCCAACCTTAATTTAGCAAGACATTGTCTCAAAATAAAAAAAATAAAAAGGTCTGGGCATGTATGTAGAGGCATAGCATCCCTGGGTTCAATTCCCAGTACCAAACCAAAAAATAAATGAATAAATAAATAAATAATAAAAGCAAAGAAACATGATTCCTATTCTGTGATTAGATATTGCTTTGCTAGGAATCAACTTTCTTCCCTTTTAAAGCGAAAAATTGCTTATAAGGACAATGCAACTGTTCTGTAACTTGAATGTGGTGGTTGCATGACTATATATATGTCAAAACATAAGATTATCCACTAAAAAGACTGATTTTTGTTGTACACAAATTATTCCTCTAATAAGAATGCCAGCAGGGATTGACATGGGTGGCGCATGCCTATAATCTGAGCAGCCTGGGAGGCTTTGGCAGAAAGTTCATAAGTTCAAAGCCAGCCTTAGCAACTTAGCAAGGCCCTAAGCAACTTAGTGATACCCTGTCTCAAAATAAAAAAGTTAAAAAAAAAAAAAAAAAGGCTGGGGATTTGGCCCAGTGTTTAAGCACCCGGGTTAAATCTCTGGTACCTAACCCCCCCCCCAAAAAAAAAAAGGATAACAGTTGTGGGGAGTGACCCATGCCTACAATTCCAGCAGCTCTGGAGGCTGAGGCACGAGGATCCCAAGTTCCAGGTCAGCCTCAACAACTATCTCAAAATAAAAAATAAAAAGGGCTGGGGTGTAGCTCAGTGGCAAATTATCCTGTACTAAATCCCCAGTACTTCCCTTCCCCCCAAAAAAGAATACCAACAACTGTTAGAGTCTGTAAACAAGTCAAAATAACACCTGGCATTTAGCCAGGGGAATGTTAGAGTTGGTAAACAAGTCTGGATGATGCCTGGCAAAATGCCAGAGGGAGTGGTTTGAGAAGTAACAAAAGCAAGCCATTAAGTGTGGAGATTCCTGATTGGTTGACTGATGTATCTAGTTTATGCTAATTAGATAAGCTGTGTGGAATGTATAAATACTGCTCCTGTCCTGCAATAAACGGCTCCCACTCCTGCTGTATCAACGTACACAAGTTCTTCGTCACCCCCCCCCCTTATTTTGCTGCAGCCGGACTGTGGCAAACAACAACCCAGTTTACTAACATGGAAAAATGTGTAAAACACTATAAATCAGAAGGCAAGAAAGAACTGCAGGAATATAGCTATGCACATATATAAATAAGAACAGGGAGAAATAAGGAGAATTTAAACTGTTCTGTTGAATCAGAATATAGTCTTTAAAATAATTTCTTTGTAATTGGTGATGCGAATTTGGGATTGTAATTGTTTTTTAGCGGGTGGGTGGGGTTGAATTCAGGACCTTAAGGCTAGCAAAGTATTCCCCTACTGAGCTATATCCCCTGCTCTGTAAAAAAATTAGAAATGAATCTGAAGCAGAGCATAGTGGCACATTGGAGGCAAGCTTGGACATCTTTGCGAGATTCTGTCTCAAAAATAAATAAACAAATAAAAAGGGCTCAGTGGTAAAACACCCTTGGGTTCAATCCCCAATACCAAAAAAAAATAAACAAATAAAAAAAGTGTTACATTTATAAAAATGCATGTAGTATCCTTTAAATTGGTTTGCTTCATGCATTTTGTTATATCTCAAACAATTCTTTTAAAAAAAGTTTAGCAGGGCATGGGAATGGGAAAGACAGTAGAATGAATCTGACATAACTTTCCTATGTTCATACATGATGAATACAAGACCAGTGTAATTCCACATCATGTTCAACCTCAAGAATGGTATGTATATATAATGTATGTATAATAGTGTATAAAGTACACTCCACTGATGTGTACATCTAAAATGAACAAAAAAGAAAAAAAAAAGCTTAAAGAAAAATTCTACTGATCAACAGTATATAGCACATCCAACTGAAAAAAAAATCATCCACTTAAAATGTGTGCAGTCCACCACAAATTACCCCTCAATAAAATAAACTGGACCTCTGGTGGAGGAGTGATCAAGCACTTCCGCAACACCCCCAAAATAGGCCTCAGGCGCACATCAGACCTCCGCAGTACCTGCGGCCTAAGTCTCCCTAGGGGGAGGCAATCACACGAAAAACCGAAAAGCCCCCGACACTCGAAGCCTTTCCGCCCACTGAGGGAGATCTAAAGCGTTCCAGACCCTCAGGCCCTGCCATCAAAAAGAGAACTGTCGCCTCCGGCTACCCAGTCCCTGCACTCAGCTGCCGCTGCGCTGACGTCACCACCCTGCCTCCCAGTCTCTCGCCTCCGTTCCCGCCCCGCCCCCTTTCCCGGCGTGCGCCGGGGCTAAAATTCCCCGCCCTGGGCTTCTGCCTGTCGCCCCAAGATGGCGGACACAATGAACCGGCGCCGCGCCGGTTGGCCCTGAGGCGACTCTGAGGAGGAACGGTCGCCTAGGCCCCACGGTCCAGGCAGAAGAGTATCGCCAGTGCGAGAGGGGAAGGAGGCGGACTTACTGCTCGCAGCCCTTCCGCTCGCCGCCAGTGCGGCGCCCGCCCCGCCCGGGTTGGCCCTCCGCAGCCCGCCCGCTCGCCCGCCATCCAGCCCCGCCCCGGCCCTGCGCCGCTGCCGCCTCCAGCAGCCGCCGCCATGAAGCTGACCGACAGCGTGCTGCGGAGCTTCCGCGTCGCCAAGGTGTTCCGCGAGAACTCAGACAAGATTAACTGCTTTGACTTCAGCCCCAATGGCGAGACGGTCATCTCGAGCAGTGACGACGACTCCATCGTGCTCTATGACTGCCAGGAGGGCAAGTGAGTGCGGCGGTGGCTCTGGGCCCGGCTCTTGAGTCCCTCCCTCCCTTCTGTGGCCCAGCACTGGTCCCGCGGCCCGCCCTCCGTCCAGACTCCGGCCCCCGGTCTCTTTTGCTTCTTCCTGGGACGCCTGCACCCCGCAGCCGTCCAAAGACCTTTTCTTTCTTTAAAAAATAACGATAATCGTAATAATAACAACATTTTTTTTTTATGTCTTCGGCCTCTTCAGAGTGCTTCTGTGTCGTTTTCCGAAACCCGCCTTGACCTTGACCTTTAAGGGCCCTGTCCGTGCATCCCGGGCCCAGCAGGTAGTTTTTCCCGCTCTTCCGACCGTGGGAGGTGCAGGTCGGCTCTGGGCTGGATGCAGAACTGGAGGGACTGCTCTCCTACTCATCCAACAGCGTCAGCTCTCTCTGCCCTTTCCGTGGTGACCTCAATTCAGCTCTGGCACTCCGCCGGTCCCCTGCCCCGCAGCTTGTCGTGGCCTTTCTGCCGTCAGGCCCCGTGGGTTGCATTTCTTGGCTGTCAGGATTTATTTGTTGTGCTTCCTTGAGCCCCTGGCGTTTTCTTCCTCTTCCAAGCCTTGCTCTTATTCCCTCAGACCTGGTCTCCACGTTTATTATAAACTTTTTAACATCCTGAAACTTTTTTTTTTTTTCCCTTTTTGCCATTCACAAGCGAATTTGACTGTCCCATTCTGATCCGAATGTGAACTCCTTAAAGTAAAGCATCCCAGGACAATTTCGTGTTTCCCCTTACACATTATTTTAACAGTTTCTCGTCCACTTGGAATTATCAAAATTCTGAATCTGGTCGTCAAAGTTTTATGTTGCACCAGGTCACTACACTTGGCATGTCTTTGCAATATCTTATGAACAGAGAGCGCTTTACCTTTTCCTCTATGGGCCTTCTCAGTCGGGCCTCATCCCTGTGGACTTGCTCCAAGTCCTTGCTGAATTGCTTCTTTGGAGCAGAAACTAGTTTAGACTAAATTTTATTTCCCCTCAGCCTCCTTTCCCAAGCAGGTTTGAGGATGTTCGGTTTAATTCAGTGGCTACTGGTTTTTTCAGACTTCATTTTGTTACCTAGTTACAAATTTTATGTTTTGAATCCTTGGATTTTTTCTCTACTTTCTCCAAGCTGTCCCTTTTGCCCCCCCCCCCCCCCCAACAACTGATGTTTTTCTTTTGGAATTTGTCTCTTCATTTGTGAATTTGATTATCTAAAGTAATGCTGTTTTGAACAGAGCTATGTTTTCCCCAAATTTCTTCCCCACTGGAGCTATGATAAAGTATTATGTAACTGGCTTTGGATCTGCTTGCAGTCATGTGGAAGAGTGGCCTACAGTGATCGTCCTGGGGGAGAGGGAATTTTTTTCCTCTAGTACTGGCTATTGAACCCAGGGGTGCTCTACCAGGAAGCTACATCCCCAACCCTTTTTCAAAAATTTGATAATGGATCTCCCTAGGTCATTAAGGCTGGCCTAGAATTTAGGATTCTCCTGCCTCAGCCTCCAGATAGGTAGCTGAGATTACAGGTGAGCTCCACTGCACCTGTTGGGGAAAAGGAATTGTTAGCTGAACAGATACTTAGTTATTTGAGTCAGTGTTATTCATTTAGTAGATGAATTCTGTCCATGTCTGGCTACTTGAATCAGTTTGGTGTTTGTGATGGGATTACTTGCTATGTTGCCCAGGCTAGCTTCAAGTTTATAATCCTCCTGCTTCAGCCTCTGTAGTAGCTGGGATTTCAGGCACATGGCCCAGCTTTTTAATGGGTTTGGAAGAGGAAGTAATGTTTAAAGCTAGGGCAGAGATTGTCATTGTGAAGTCCTGGAACTAGAAGTAAATTGAAGCTGGTTTGCTTGAAATTTTCAATGCTTGTGCACAAGATTAGAACCTACCTCCAGAACCTAACAGTGGAAATACATGTCTACATTGAAAGGAAATGATGGTTGTCCTGGCATTTCTTCAATTTGTCACCAAATGTGGAAAATTTCTTCCTGTTATGAAGTCTTATATTGTAAAATGCCAATTTTGGCTTTTTACAATTATAGACTTTTTGAAAGTTATAATGTTTCAAAGACTTCCCTTGGAGGAAAAAAAAAACATACTTGAAATACACTTGAAAGAATGATCCAACAACTTATTAAGTTTTGCACCGTTTGCTTTATCATTCCATAGGTAAATATTTAAACTTATGCATTTTTCCCATTACAGAGTAAGTTGGAGATATCAACCCCTTTATCCCTAAACATTTCAATATAGATTTCTTTTTCTTCTTCTTTTTTAATATTTATTTTTATTTATTTATTTTCGGTGGACACAACATCTTTATTTTATTTTATGTGGTGCTGAGGATCGAACCCAGCACCCCGTGCATGCCAGGCGAGCGCGCAACCGCTTGAGCCACATCCCCAGCCCCCCCCCCCCCTCCCCTTTTTTTTTAATATTGGCTTTTGAACCCAGGGCACTTTATCCCTGAGCTACATCCCCAGCCCTTTTTATTTTTTATTTTTATTTATTTTTTATTTTGGGGTACTAGGGATGGAACTCGGGGCACTTGATCACTAAACCACATCCCCAGCTGTATTTTGTATTTTATTTAGAGACAGAGTCTCACTGAGTTGCTTAGCGCCTTGCCATTGCTGAGGCTGGCTTTGAACTCTTGGTCCTCCTGCCTCAGCCTCCCTAGCCGCCGGGATTACAGGCATTTGCTACTGAGCCGGGCTATTTTTTATTTTTGATACTAGGGATTGAACTGAGGGGCACTTGACCAGTGAGCCATATCCCCAGCCCTGTTTTGTATTTTTTATTTAGAAAGTGTGTCTCACTGAGTGACTTAGTGCCTCGCTTTTCTTGAGGCTGGCATTGAACTTGTGATCCTCCTGTCTCAGCCTCCTGAGCCACTGGGATTACAGGCATGTGCCACCATTCCCACCCTTTTAATTTTGATTCAGGGTTTTGCCACGTTGCTTGAGGCCTTGCTAAATTTTGATCATCTTGTGTCAACCTTGCGAGCCACAGGCATATACTACCATGTCCAGCCCATTTAAACTTTGTTTTTTTTTTAAGAGAGAGAGAGAATTTTTTAAAATATTTATTATTTTAGTTTTTGGCGGACACAACATCTTTGTTTGTATGTGGTGCTGAGGATCGAACCCTGGCCACATGCATGCCAGGCGAGCGCGCTACTGCTTGAGCCACATCCCCAGCCCCCCATTTAAACTTTGTAATGGAGTTCATCTATTGAGATTTCAACTTGAAAACACCTAAAGGATATTATTTGTGGTAGATGAAGCAGATTACTCAAAGAGAAGAAGAAACTTAACCAAATATTTGAGAAAGTGTTGTGTATGGCCTTGAGTAAAGACCCTTGAAATGAATATATTAGGATCTTTCAAACCAGGAAATGAAATTATAGACTTATTAGGAACAAATCTCAGGTTAATGTTTTTGGTAAATTTTAGAAGGCCATATCAAAGTTTAACACTCCCCCCCACCCCAACTTCTTTATACCATATTCTTTTAGCATTGGTATTTCAGGGTCTTTTCTGTTTGGCCATGGGCTGAAATAGGGCTTGGTTTGATACATATAAAGTTAGCTGTCTTTAGAGAGCAGAATCCTAGACAGTGGACCAAGTAGTTTTTTTTTTTTTGATCTTTTTAGAGTGACAATTATTTCAGTAAAGGTAAGCATGTGGAAATTCCAGTGCATTTGTTGTGAGAACTCTTATTTGGCTTCATTGGCATTAACAGCAATTGAAAATGCAAATAATTGACTTTTTTTTGCAGTACAGTGAATTGAACCAAGGGGTGCTCTACTACTGAGCTACAATGGCCAGTCTGGTCTCAAATTTGTAATCCTCCTGCCTCAGCCTCCTGAGTAGCTGGAATTATAGGGTGTGTACTACTGATCCAAATGATTGGTTTTTTGTTTTTTTTTTTTTTTTGTACCAGATATTGAACCTAGGGGCACTTAACCACTGAGTCACATCCCCAGCCCTTTTTATTTTTTATTTTAGTATCAGGGATTGAACCCGGGGGTGAGGCTTAACCACCAATGCACATCCCCGACTGTTTTTCTGTGTTTTAATTTTGGGGGGGTACCGGGGATTGAACTTGGGGGCACTCAAACACTGAGCCACATCCCCAGCCCTATTTTTGTATTTTATTTAGAGACAGGGTCTCACTGAGTTAGTTGTTAGTACCTTGCTAAATGGCTGAGGCTGGTTTGAGCTCGTGAACCTCCTGTGCTGCTGGAATTACAGGCATACACCACCAAGCCCAGCCAAATGATTGGCTTCTTAAGGCTTCCTGAGTCATTTAAGTGTTTAGCATCCAGGTTCCAAGAGGATTTTACGTAGAGAGGGTGAATATTTTCATAAATTTGAACTCTTGAAACATTGGTATAGGATTTTGAAATCCTTCTAAGTCTTAAAATGTAGAAATTTATTTTTAAGTCATTTTAGGAAAGTGGTAGTGTGCTTTACCACTAAATTATGTCCCCAGCCCTTTTCTTATTTTATTTTGAAATAATGTCTCACTAAGTTACCCAGGCTGAGCTTGAACTTGTGATCTTCCTGCCTCAACCTACTGAGTAGATGGGATTATCTGTGTGTGCTTTTCTTACTTGATACATATGAATTGTTCTGGCATTCAGATCTAATTTTACAGAGATAATTGGGTGGTTTTTGTTGTTTGTTTTTTGCTGAGATCTGTTTTAGCTTGATCTTGAGGTTCTGTAGAAGACATTTAGGAACTTCATCAAATGAGTTGGTAACCTGGACTGGAAATGTGTGATTTTATGTTAAAATAAAAAGAACCATTTTTTGCTAAGGATTTAGGCTTGCCTTTAGAGTTAGGTTTGCCTCCTAAAAGTTCCAGCAAATAGGATATCTTCTGCGAGAGCAGGGTATACTAAGAAAGGCAGACTGTTTTGCGTCTGGTTTCAGTTTCATAAATCATTACCTTCTTGAGGAAAGCTTTCTAAGTGAAAGGCTTAAAAGAAGCTCTTGGGGTTGACTTATTTTCATGTCCCTCTTTGTTGTTACGACATGACTTGTGTGTTGTTTTGTATATCTTTCTTTCTAAATAGGTATACTTTTCTCAAAAGCTTTTAAATTTTGTAGTAGAGATTGAATTGAGCTAGGTATAGTGGCACATGCCTGTCATCCCAGCTGAGGCAGGAGGATCACAAGTTCAAGGCTAGCCTCAGCAACTTGGTGAGGCTCTAAGCAATTTGGAAAGACCATGTCTCGAATTTTTTTTTTTTTTTTTTTAAGGTGGTGGGATAGTTGGGAGCTGGGAATGTAGCTCAGTAGTAAAGTATCCCTGGGTTCGATCACCAGTATCCAAAACCAAAGATTGAATGGAGCTGGGCACTGTGGCACACATATGCATACCCAGCGGCTTAGGAGACTGAGGCAGGAGAATCTCAGGTTAAAAGCCAGCCTCAGCAACTTAGCAAGGCTGTAAGCAACCTAGTGAGACACTGTCTCAAAATAAAACATATAAAGGGCTGGGGATGTTGTTTAGTGGTTTAGCACCCTTGCGTTCAATCCTTGGTACCAAAAGAATTTTTAAAAAGATTGAACTGGTGAGCCCTCACATTTACTTATGCTTCATAATTCTTTCTGTGGCCATTGAGCTTGATTTAAAAAAATTTAAGAGCACAGAATGTCATATTGTCCAGGCTGGTTCTCCTTTGATGTAAAATAACAACTTTGTCTTAAAGGAAATAAGATAATTTTAATTTTTTTTCCTGAGGCAAATATGAGTGACCATGGCCTGAAAACAGATTAAATTGCCCTGAATGACATGTTTAACTGTGGAAAAGGTTATATGAAGTCACCAAACAGAAGAAAGTCATAAATCAAACACTTATAACTGATAAGCACCCCTGGGTTCAATCCCTGGTACAAAGTGAGAGAGAGAGAGAGAGAGAGAGAGAGACAGACAGGATATTATGTCAGTATGAAAGTTAAGGTAAGTGGTTGTTAAAGGGCCTAAAATGTCCTGAGATGATTTTGGCTATCAAAAACATTCTTTCTCTGTACCCATCACTGTGTTCTAGTCAGCTAAGGTTAAGCATTCTGCAGAATCTTCAACATATATATAGATACAGTTTCTTCAGAGAACTTCAGTTTACATTGTCACAGAGCAGGAAGCTGAAACTCCAAACCTCAATTCTGGTGTTGCAACAAAAGAAAATTTAAAGTCAGACACCAAGAGTCATGCAAGAGAATTTTATAATCAATGAAGATAAAGTGGAATGAAGTGAGAGTAAGGTGAAAGTAAAGAAGGCATAAGCAGAGAACACTCTCAAGGGAAAGAGTGATAACAAAGGAAACAAAGCTACTTTCCACTTTCATTGTTGTTTTTGTGTTTGCCTTGAAAACTGGGGACCACTTTCTGCAGCATTCTTTACCAATCAGGTATTCAACTCCTTCACATCAGGCAGTGGAGTTTTTTACCCTAATTGGTCTTTTCTGTTGTGGTAGCCATCCTATTCAGAAGGGCTTCATCTGTAAGTCAAGCCTATGTTAATGTGGCTGGGGTCAGCAACCAGAGAGGTTAACTTATCATGGTCCTCAAGATTTCCCCCTTTCTGAGACAAAAGGAGACACTTGGGGCCATAACTTCTAGTTTATCTTGACCTTTATGGGCCCTGTAGAGAGTTAGACCCATAAATCCTTCTTTCTTAATGTATTCCCCCAGCTGGCTCTTTTAACATTGTTTGTTTATCCTCAAGGTTTATGTACTAATGTTTTTCTACAGGTTATCTACTATAGTTATTTACTCATCTGTCTTGGCAGTACCTTATAATAAACCTGTGATTTTTAAATAAAACTTAAAATAAACCTGTAGGGATCTTGCTATGCATTTTACTGTTCATTTCTACTAACTACTACCTAACAGCATCTCAAACTCAGAGCTCTCTGGGGTTCAAGGAATTCCCAGCCTCAGCCTCCTAAGTAGTTGGGACTACAGGTATACCACCTCATCCCTTGATTAATTGATTTTTCCTCCTTTGGTGTGTGGAGGGTGGTACTGGGGATTGGATCCAGGCGTATTCTACCATTGAGCTATATCATTAGTCCTTTTTTTTAAATACATTTTTTAGTTGTAGATGGACCTTTATTATTTATTTATGTGGTGCTGTGGTTCAAATTCTCATACATGCTAGCAAGCGCTCTAACCCCTCCATTTTGTTTTTGATTTTGAGATAAGGTCTTGCTAAGTTGTCTAGGCTGGCCTCAAACCTGGTGATCTTCTTGCCTCAGCCTTGTGAGTCAGTGGGATTATAGGAATGCACCATGGTGCCTAGCTATTTCCTCCTTTTGGATGCAATTCTGTTTTCTTTCCAGTGTTAGAACTTACTGACTTACTGAGACTCCTCATCCTCACCACATCATTTCAAGTGCTACCCTTTATATGGAGATGTCATATTTTGGAGTTGAAGAATTTTGATGATTTTTTTTTTTTCTCTGTCCATTTCCTCATCAGACCAAAGAGAACCTTATACAGTAAGAAATATGGTGTGGACCTCATCAGATACACGCATGCAGCAAACACAGTCGTTTACAGCTCTAACAAAATAGACGGTAAGCAAACCTTTTTAGGAAGTTAAGGTTATGGTTTCCTTTGTTAAATAGTTCACGAAATCTTTGTGACTACTTCTGCTTTGTTTATAGTTTAGTTTATATTCCTATGATGTTAGCAATGGTAATTAAATTATAACTAAAGGAATGCTGGAAGCAGTACTAGCACTTTGAAAGATTTGGAACTAAATGAAAAATCTGGGCTGGGGATGTGGCTCAAGCGGTAGCGCGCTCGCCTGGCATGCGTGCGGCCCGGGTTCCATCCTCAGCACCACGTACAGAGATGTTGTGTCCGCCGAAAACTAAAAAATAATAAATATTAAAAATTCTCTCTCAAAAAAAAAAAAAAAAAAAGAATGAAAAATCTACAGTTAATATTGAGTAGAAAAAGGAAGCAACTAATTACATTTACTTCTAAGTTAATACTCCTTGAAACTTGAAAAAATACTTTTAGAGCAAATAAAAGGAAAGAATACTTGACACAGCAAGTAGCAAACTATTGAAGAAAAATAGTTCCCATTCTTAATATGTAGATTTGAGGTCTGGGGGTGTATCTCAGTGGTAGAACTTAACAAAAGGCTCTGAGTTGGATCCCTAGCACCGCAAAAACAATATGTAGATTTGAGAAGAGTTTTCACAAAAATATGAGAAAAAAACTTTAGTTCACACTTCAAATTCCTGGGCTTTAGCAAACTCTTAGGCTCAGATGATCCTTCTGCCTCAGTAGAGGTTTAAATAAAGAAGAGTTTTTGATGTAGTCCATCATTTAATGGTCTGTGTCATAAAGGACAGTATACTAACCTTAGTCATCTTTGATTTTAGGGATACTTTTTTAATCTGAATTTTATTCACCCCTTCACCCCTACCCCTGCTTTTTTTTTTTCTTTCTTTCTTTTTTTTTTGCGGTGCTGGGGATTGAACCCAGGGCCTTGCGTATGCCAAGTAAACTAAGATATATCCTCAGCCCCTCCCTTTTTACTTTTAAATAAAGCTGATCATCTTTGAAGAATAAATTACTTTTAGAAATTAAAACCTGTGAATTTCTTTCTGTAATAAACGGTCTTTGTTTTTATCTGCATTTCCCCTGGGATGACTCCTTCCAAGTTAACAGATTGTCTTGATAATTGAGCTATAACACTTAATTTCATATTAGGACTCTTTTTTTTTTTTTTAATGTTGCTTTATTGGTTTATTGTTTTACTTTTTATAGTAACCTTTTTCTAATGTCATTCAACAAGGATTGCTTAGACTGCTATTTTGGCTGTGTCTGTCTCAGAGCAGATGGGCAGAAGTCTTCATATTTTTTGTTTGTTTGTTCTTTTTTCCTTTAACAAGATCTTCTACCTGTAGTTGATTTTTTAGTAAGTATATTATTTCTACTTTTCATGTGTCTATTTCAGAAGTGGTTTTTTAATAAGCAGTGCAGTTGATGCTTTGGGATAAGAATATAAAACATTAGGATCCTGAGGAAAATATTTGTATATGATCATCTGAATGACTGGTACATTTCTTATGTTGGGCTGCTTTTCTGAGTGATTAAATGAGGATTCTCCAAATGTGGTACAAGATCAGGCAAATGTGTGGCACTTGCAGCTTTGCTGCCAGGCCTCTGCTGTGGGAATCTTGCCTTTCCTGTCTCAAGTGCATCCTGAAGAGTTCTTCCAGCGCTCCGTTTCCTTTTTGCCTGATTCCAGGCTGAGGTAGTAGTTTGTACAGTTTGAGGGTCTATGATACCACCCGGTACAAGGAGATAACTGTACAGGCCACTGCCTTGCCAGGAACAGTGCGCCAGCTACCAAGTGGGGCGGAAAGGATGGTGAAGCCCTGCTCGTCTCTGGGAATCCAGGTAATGGGGAGGAAGTCTTTTCTTCTTAGGGCAGGTGAGTAGTTTCTAACACTAGATCAGGAATACTTTGTAGTTGTCATTTGAGAAGTTTGAAGATGTTTTCAAAGAAACTGTGTAGTTACAGAACATAAAAGGGTATCCTTTTCTGAAATTTCCCAGGTTAAATACCCTCTTATTAGGAAGTACATTTATGAACCACCACTGGGTGAATCACTTGCTGCTTTCAACCTCTATATTCTGGATTTCTGTTTGACTTTAGAATGTTCTTTCTGTGCTTTTGTTTCCCTGCATTTTGGTATCATTTTCTGTTACCTATTTTTCAGCAATTTCTTCTTTTTTCCTCATCTTTTTTAGAAGCATAGTACTTTCCTACTTTTCCAATTCTGTTCTTTATGGCACTTAATTCCCCTGCCACCACCATCTTTTTTATTATTTACCTTTTATAATAGAATGATTTGTTTTTTTCTTTTTTCTTTCCATGTTTTATTTTTGTTATTGGACATTTAACGCAGGGGTGCTTTATCACTAAGCAACATCCCCAGTAAGTTGCTGAGAGCTTTGCTGATTTACCGAGGCTGGCCTCAAACTTGCAGTCCCCTGTCTTAGCTTCCCAAGTTGCTAGGATCACAGGCAAGCACCACTATGCCCAGCTGATTAGTTTTTTTTGTGTGTGTGTGGCGGGGGGCGGGTTCTTTTTTTCTTTTTGGGGTGCTGGGAATCAAACCCAGGGCCTCATGCCAGCAAGCACTTTACCACTGAGCCACATTCCCAGCCCCTGATCTGGATTTTAAGGGTGTGTGTCTTCTTTTTCCTAAGCACAAATCTTGCTGATTATTCCTTTCTTTAAAACTGCAAAATCTCATTTCTGTTACTTGATATATTTCATGAGTTTGATATATATATTTTTTTAATGTCCTCAACCCAAATCTAGACATTAGTTTCTGTGTTGTTAGTTGCAGTGTACATTGTGTATCCTATGGAATGTTGGGATGGGACAGTCTTGAAGAACCCTGGAAAAAATTGCTGCCAGGGTCCATCCTGATCTGTAGCTTATTTGGCTGCTCATAGCTTTGAGCCTGTTTCCTCAGCAGCCAAATGTGTTTCTATAAGGTTTTTCCATTCTGTGGGCACTAAGACTAATATTTTTTTGCCAGGGTATATTTGCAGGGCAAGTTGCATTGTAATTTTGAAGAAGCCAAATATTGATAGTCGAACAGTGATTTATTTTACTTTTATTTTTGGTATTGATTGGGATTGAACCCAAGGCCTCGTACATGTTAGGCAAGCACTCTACCACTGAGTTATACCCAGAGCCCCCAAACGGCTCTGTCAGTATGCTGTTAACTTAGAACTGCTTTTGAGTTGTGAGAAATCTATATACCTACTCTTAAGCTGCTAAGAAGAATTATTCACTTTACTTGGGTGATGGAATACAGTGGGTTTTTGATCCTGTCTTTTCTTCAAGATGAAACTGCAAAATAAATTGCTTTTAAATAATACAGTATCACCATCCCTTATTTGTCTTCTTGCAGATACTATCCGTTACCTATCCTTACATGACAACAAATACATCAGATACTTTCCTGGACATAGCAAAAGGTAAGACCCAGGTATTGCAGAATTGGGTAGTTATTTATCCCTGAACTAACCCAGATAACAGAAGAGTGGATTTTATTAGTGAACCAAAGCTATTTCCTCACTGCTCTTTGGTATTCTTTTTATAAATCTTTAGGAAGATATAGTCATGGTGATGTTGGGAATGAGTCTGATAACCATCAGGAACAAGTAGCCAGCTATTGGAGTAGGTTGGGATTGAAGTTGGGTATTCTGCCACCAAGTAAACCTGGCTATCTTTGTTTCATTAGCCTCCCCGCCTCCCCCCCATATGCTGGAAATTGAACCCAGTGGTGCTAAAGCATGGAGCCACATCCCCAACTCTTTTAATTTTAAGACAAGATCTCTCTAAGTTGTGGCTTTTTGTTAGCCCTTCTTAAATAGTTAATTCTCAATTTTCCAAGGTTGTGAAAGCAGGGGTAGGGCTACAAAGATAAAGAAAATCTCAGTTAAAATATAAGTAAGGAGGACTGGGGTTGTGGCTCAGTGGTAGAGTGCTTGCCTAGCATGTGGGAGGCACTGAGTTCGATCCTCAGCACCACGTAAATTTAAATAAATAGAATAAAGTAAAAAAAAAATGTGTATGTATGTATGTGTGTATACACACACATGTGTATGTAAGGGACCAAGCACAGTGGTGCATACCAGTAATCCCATTGATTTAGGAGGCTAAAGCAGGAGGATTACAAGTTCAAAGCAAGTCTGGGTGAATTAGCAAGATCCTATCCCAAAATAAAAAGGGCTGGAGATCCAACTCAGTGGTAAATTTGTGCCCCTGATTCAATTCCCAGTACAGGCCTCCCCCCCCCAAAAAAAATATACATGTGTGTGTATATGTGTATGTATGTAGATGGATGGATGGATGGATGGATAGATAGCAGGGGCTAGAGGTGTATCTCATTGGCAGAGTATGTGTTTAGCATGCAGGAGATGCTGAGTTCAATCCCTTTAATCCCTTGGATTAAAGACACTTAGTAATAAACCTATGTAGTAAAAATTACAGTTGGCATTTAAGAATACCAATCTCAGGTATCCCTTAATGAAAGAACCATTGTGAGGCTTTCCAGTACAGGTGGCCCCCATTTCAGCAGGTCCCTACAAAAAAATGTTACATGTGAAGCTTTGTGTGTTGGGGGGTGGGGAGGAGGGTTTGTGGTAATCAAACTTCACTCATGCTAGGCAAATGCTCTACCACTGAGCTAGCTACATCCTCAGCTCCCACATTCAAAGATCTTAATGAAGATGCAAAATGGAAACAAACAAATTTTTGCTTTTTTTAGGGGGGTAGAAATCAGGGATTGAACTCAGGGTAATTTAACCACCAAACTACATCTCTAGTTCTTTTTTTGCTACTGGGATTGAACTCAGGGGCACTCAACCACTGAGCCACATTCCCAGCCCTGTTTTGTATTTTATTTAGAGACTGAATCTCACTGAGTTGCTTAGCACCTTACTAAAGCTAGCTTTGAATTCATGATCTTCCTACCTCAGCTTCCCAAGTTGCTGGAATTATAGGCATGTACCACCACACTGCCTGGCTTTTTTGTTAAAGTCAAGAAGTTTAACTTCTTGTTCTATATTATATAATGTATGCAGGCTGTTTCTTTTTACCCTCACCCTACTTCCCCTAATTTTTTTCCTCCAATTTTTCCAATTTGGCTGAATGTTGTAACAAATATTTATCTTCTTGGATAATATTTCAGTCTCTTGGGGTTATTTTCTCCTATTCTCATTTATAAAAATGTACAGTAACCCAGGATGGCTTAGAGTGTTATGGAGTCCTGACAGAAAATGGACTGAGAGCTACCTGTTAATAGTTGTACTTCTGAGGCTCAGGGGTAGAGTGCTCGTGTAGCACATCCAAGACCCTGGGTTCGATCCTCAGCACCACATAAAAATAAATAAAATAAAGGTATTGTGTCCATCTACAACTAAAAAATAAATATTTAAAAAAAAAAAAAAACAGTTGTGGGGCTGGGGATGTGGCTCAAGCAGTAGCCGCGCTCTCCTGGCATGTGTGCGGCCTGGGTTCGATCCTCAGCACCACATAGAAACAAAGATGTTGTGTACGCCTAAAACTGAAAAATAAATATTGAAATTCTCTCTCCTCTCTCTCTCCTCTCCTCTCCTCCCTCCCTCTCTCTCTCTCTCTCTCAAAAAAAAAAAACAAAAAAAAACAGTTGTACTTTTGAGTGATTAGCGTTCTTGTGTTGCGGAAGACTGGAGATTGTAGCTGTTAGTTATTGTGTACTATCAGATAGAGGATAACTCATGACAAGTAGATGATTTTGCTTGTCGTATTCAAATCAGTGTTCACAGATTTACTGCTTATAATTAAGGGTTAATGTGCCTGCTGAGATTTTTTCCATTCTTCCTTATTGTATCTTCTTTACCCAGAAGTACTTTACCATTGATCTACATCACCAATCCTTTTAATTTTTTGTTTTGAGACAAGATCTCACTAAGTTGCCTAGGACCTCATTAAATTGCTGCTGATTTTGGCCTCAAACTTTTGATCTTTCTGCCTCAGACTCTCAAATCACTAAGATTACAGGCTTGCACTACTGTGCCTGGCTCTCCATACCTCGACCCTGTTTCTTAGTAGATGACTGTGTCCCTCTATTGAGAGAATCAAGGTTATCCAAATGAGTACTTTTGAACTTATATCCCTTTTCCTGAAATTCTTCTCTTTGGATCTCTTTTCCTTGAAAAAGAAGTAGCCTTCCTTCCTTGATGAAATTAACCTCCCACTTTCCACTTGGCTTCTGTCTCTATAATTGACCTTTTCCTTATTGCATCTACAAATTTACTTGGAATTCCTCATCTTAAGTCTATTTATTGATCCTTTCACCCACTTTTCACTATCAAACATGATAGAAGAATATCTACATTTTCATCTCCAACACCTCATACTTTTCAGTGTTTAAAAACACTTGCTCTAGTCTGTTAGAGTCATATGGACTTGGACACTTAGGTTTCTAACTACCTCAACTTTCTCAGGAGATTTTGGCTTTTAATAGTATCTTTTGTTAAGGAGCTAGTGCAAATGTTGAGTTATGATTGGAAGAAGAGTTTTTTGGTGATTAACTCAGGATGGTACAGGTGGAGTATTCCTTATCTCTGGAAGTTTTCAGATTTTAGAATATTTGCATATGTATAATGAGATATCTTAGGAGCGGGACTTATTGTAAACATGAAATTTATTTATGTTTCATATATACTTTACTCATAGCCTGAAGTTAATTTCATTCAGTATTTCTGGTTCATCCCGTTTTGACTACACCCCCATATATATGATTAAGTGTGGAATTTTCCACTTTCAGTGTCATGTCAGTGCTTAAAAAGATACATGCTGGGCAAGTGCCCGACCATCCCTAGCCCCTGAATTTTCAGATTAGGAATGTTCAAGCTAGGCATGCTAGGCGTGCACTCTACCACTGAACCACAACCCTAGCCCCGCAATCTACATTTTAAACACCTCTTCCAGTGATGCTGACGCCACTCTAGTTTGGAAACATTAGTGTACTCTTGTACTATCCTGTTGTTTTGTTTTGTTTTTCTTTTAATTGTATTTTGAGACTTTCCAAGTTGCCCAAGCTAGGATTATAGATGTGTACCACCACACCTAGCTACTACCATCCTATTAAGAAACCATGCTTCTTTAAAAAATTGATATATAGTTATCAAGCCATGAGTTATTCATTTACTTTTTGGTACTAGGGATTGAACCCAGGGGTACTTTATCACTGAGCTATATCCCCAGTCTGTTTTAATTTTTATTTTGAGATAAGAGTCTTGCTCAGTTGCTTAGGACCTTGCTAAGTTGCTCAGGCCGGTCTTAAATTTGTGATCCTCCTTCCTCAGTCTCCCAAGTTGCTAGGGTTATAGATGTGTGCCACCATGCCAACCTAAATTATCCATTTTAAAGTGTCCAGTTTGGTGATTTTTGGCGGGGGAGAGTGGGGTTTATATTCACAAGAGTTGGGCCACAATCCTTGCTATATAATTCCAAAACATTTTCATCACCCCAAAGAGAAATCCCATACCCATTCACATTCACTTCCCCAGTGTCCCTCACAATCACTAATCTACTTTCTTTCTCTGTAGATTTGCATATTCTAGACATTTTGTATAAATGGAAAAAGATAACTTGTGGCCTTAGTTTCTTTCACTTAAGGTGATGTTTCTAAGGTTTATCCAGGTTGTCAATATGAGTCAGTACTTTATCACTTTTTATTACCAAATGATATTCCATTGCATTTTATGGATGAACCACATTTTGTTTATCCATTCATTAGTTAATGGACATTTGGATTATTTCCTCTCTTTTCACATTTCTATCAGCAGTGTATAAGTATTCTAATTGCTCTACCATCCTCATTAACATCCGTTAATTATTATAGCTATGCTTGTGGGTGTAAAGTAGTATCTCATTGTGGTTTTAGAATTATATATTTTTATAGTAAGGCTTTAAGTTGCTTTTTTCCATCATACCAGTTGGCTTTGAATATTTCAGATATGCTTGCATATATTTCCTAGAATAGCAGTTTTGGGAAACAGGTATATATAGCTAGGCAGAGTGGCTAGAGTTCACATCCAATTTTTGCTCATATTTTGCTTCAACTCCTATTTATCTTGATGCATTACAGGGTGGTGGCCTTGTCCATGTCACCTGTGGATGACACTTTCATTTCTGGGTCTCTTGATAAGACTATTCGACTCTGGGATCTCCGGTCTCCTAACTGCCAGGTAATGATACCTCACAGTTACATTTTTTAGCATTTCTTGTGGTAGGCATTATAATCAGTTCTCTTTCAAGAAGGAAAGCAAGCACTGGTTCCATTCTGGGATCCCAGAGTCTTCCTAAACTTCAGAGGAAACTTGTTTTCCTGGTAGATTGCTGCTTGGTAAGCAGATAACCTTAATCTAGTGTAGTTGGCTTTATATTCTGTGGCTTATTGTTTTAAAAAATTCTTTTCTTAGAGCTTTTGAGCCACAGGTTTTGGCCTCAGGGGATTGGTTTTTATTTGAACTTTTTGTCTATAATATTGTGCAGTTAGGATTGATTAGAAATCTATTTATATGGTGACTTCTTTTTTAAAAGCTTCAATTTAGTTTGATTTTGTTTGCTTTTTCTGTACTGTAGGTAGGCTTAGTTTTCATTAGGAAAGGTCAATTATATGGTGGTGAGATTCTTATTAACTTTTTGTCTTCTTTCTTCTTTCCTTAGGGCCTCATGCATCTTCAGGGCAAGCCAGTTTGTTCTTTTGATCCAGAAGGGTTAATTTTTGCTGCAGGTGTCAACTCTGAAATGGTCAAACTTTATGACCTTCGTTCTTTTGATAAGGTTTGAATCTTTGAATTATCTTGATGGTATGGAAGTTTTAGAGAAAAGATGGATATATTAAGCCCCTTTTTTATGGTAGAGGGAGTATGTGGTAGATATTAGAGAGCCATAGTTTATCTTGTGCTTTCCCACTCAAAAAGGAATCTCAGTAGCAGAGCGCTTGCCTAGCACCCACAAGGCCCTCAGTTCTGTCCTCGGCCCTGGGGGCTGAGGGGGGGTGGGGGTGGGTGGAGGAAAAAAGAAATCTAAACTGATATAGAACGGGAGTTAGCTCTGAGAGAAGGAATTGTAAATGTTCTTTGGCCTGGGGCTGCTTTTACCTTTTGCAGGGACCATTTGCAACATTTAAGATGCAGTACGATCGGACTTGTGAGTGGACAGGACTCAAGTTCAGCAATGATGGCAAGCTTATACTCATCTCCACCAATGGCAGCTTCATACGTCTCATTGATGCATTCAAGGGAGTGGTGATGCACACATTTGGGGTGAGCTGACATTTTTTTTTACCCCGTTACTGGGAATTGACCCCAGAAGCGCTTTACCACTGAGCTATATCCCCAGCCCTTTTTAAACTTTGAGACAGGGTCTCGTTTAGTTTCCTAGAACAGCAGATTTGGGAAACAGGTATATATAGCTAGGCAGAGTGGCTATAAAGTTCACATCCAATTTTTGCTCATATTTTGCTTCAACTCCTATTTTTAAAAAATATTTATTTTTTTAGTTTTAGGTGGACACAATATCTTTATTTTATTATTATGTGGTGTTGAGGATCGACCCAGTGCCTCGTGCATGCCAGGCAGGCGCACTACCACTTTGAGCCACATCCCCAGCCCTTCAACTCCTATTTATCTTGATGATTCTAGACTGGCCTGGAACTTGCAATCCTCCTGCCTTAGCCTCCTAAGGCAGCTGGGATTAGAGGTCTGCACCATTGTGCCTGGCTTAATTGATATCCTTTGAGCATGACTGCTTGCATGCTTCTCCCTCCTGGGCTGAAAATTGTGTTAGTGATGGATAATAGCAGTTATCTTTTCACTGATTAAGGCATGAGCTTGCACCATCTTCCTGTGAACTTACTTCCTTTGGATTCAGAGGTATTTGCTTCTCACCAAGTGACCAAAGTGAGGTGTTTAGATATAAAATAATTCTTAATTGCTCAGTTTGGTGCATACCTGTAATGCCAGCTACTTAGGAGGTAAAAGAGTATTGCAGGTTAAAGGCCAGCTTCGGCAACTTGGCAAGACCTTGTCTCAAAATTAAAAAAATAAAAGGGGCTGGGGAGGTAGCTCAGTAGTAGAGCACCCCTAGGTTCAATAAAAGTTTTCTTGCCCCTACCCCCCCATATAGGATTCAGTTAGGGAGTGAATATTTTAAGGGTGGCAACTGTATTTGGAACCTTGGTGGTATTGAATATAAAAAGGAAAGGGTTTCCTGGAAGATGATGTGTTTACTGGGTTGATGTTCTAGGCATTTTTAAACTAGTGACCCTGTAACAACAAGAGAACTGCTTTGTTTTGTTTTGTTTTAGGGTTATGCCAACAGCAAAGCTGTCACACTAGAGGCTTCATTTACTCCAGACTCTCAGTTTATTATGATTGGTAAGCTTCCTTCATTTCTCTTGGAGTTATTTCTGTGGTACTGTGCATTTGTTCAAGCTATTAAACTGATTAATCATAACCTGTTTAATAGATGTTTTCAGGTTTCTGTACAGCACATATATCAAGGATATAGTGTCTTTAAACTGTCTGACTTTGGGGTGTTCTTTGCTGGAACCAACATTACTATTGATCTTCCCTTGACCAGCATTACAATTAAGCTCTAAAATTACTTTATTAGTATTATTAACTTCCTGGAATAACCCTATGTTCAGTTGCCTCAGTGGCTAGATATTGTTAAGCTAATGGTATTCAGCCTCTTTTTTGGATGGGAAAAGTAAAGCTAGAGGGGAAGTGACTTGCCTGAAATAAATAAACAAGGTCAAGTTCAAATCCCAAGGCTGGAACTATATATATATAGCTCAAGGGTAGCATGCATGCGCATGCCTAGCATGCTCAAGAATCTGGGTTCGATTGGCAGTACCTCCTTCACGCAAAAAAGACTAATTCCCAATTGAGTGTGCTTCCTTCACTGTTTCTCCTTCCTCCCACTTTGTACTGAGGGCTGGGTCCTGAAGCTTGTCTTCTCTCCAGACCTCAATCATCTCTCTCAATCATGTCTTTCTTATCTCAGTTGTTTTTGTATTGAGCTATTAAATTTTCCTTGATGATTCTCTTTAGGTTCAGAGGATGGCAAGATCCATGTTTGGAATGGAGAGAGCGGTATAAAAGTAGCTGTACTGGATGGTAAACACACAGGCCCCATTACCTGTTTGCAGTTTAACCCCAAGTTCATGACTTTTGCCAGTGCGTGTTCCAACATGGTATGTGAACAATGCTAAGTGTCTTCTACATAGGGGCCCTCTCCTTTGGGGTGGCAGTGAGCATAGCATGCTGTAGGTACGAGTACCTGTTTGTCATCTGGCTTCCCTGTTCACCTCCCATCATGTAATGTCTGGCTGGGGTATTTTTTTATTCTTCCCACGAACTGGGGTCCCCTCTTGAGTTCCCAAGAGATAGTTTTTGCTATGACCTCTGCTTTTAGACTTAAATTACCTAGACTAGTGTTCAGTATCGGGGTAGGAGTTGGAGATTACCTAGACTATGCTGAACACCTTTTTTGCTGCTGGTAGTCTTTTTTTTTTTCTTTTTGGTACTGGGGATTGATCTTGGGGGTACCCAACTACTGAGCCATATTCCCAGCTCTATTTTTTGTATTTTATTTAGAGACAGGGTCTCACTGAGTTGCTCATTGCCTCACTTTTGCTGAGGCTGGCTTTAAACTCACAATCCTCCTGCCTCAGCCTCCCAAGCCATTCGGATTATAGGCGTGCACCACTGCACCCAGTTTGTTCTTGGTATTCTGAACCATTTTTTGTATGTTGGCACTGGGGATTGAACCCAGAAGTACTTTATCACTGAACTATATTCCCAGCCCTTTTTTTGGGGGGGGGGTCTCACTTAAGTTTTCAGGTTGGCCTTGAACTTGGGATCCTCATGCTTCAGTCTCCTCAGTTGCTGGGATGTAGGCATATACCATCATGCCCAGCTGAACCCACCTTTTGTGACTGCATTCTTTCAGTCTTTCATTTCTCTTGGTTTACACTGATTTCCTCAAAAATTCTTAACAGTTGATGATAACTCACCACTTAGAATTAACTCTAGGTCTTTGTCTCTTCCTAGACAAGACTTTGAAAACAAAGCATCAGTGAGTCTCAGCTCCTAGTTTTCTTTTTGGATCTCTTAAACCTGCCTGGGTATTTGCGTATGTTGCCTCCTCTCTTTTTTCTTTTCTTTTCTTTTCATTCTCCTTCCTTCCCTGAAATCCCAGCTATTCAGCTGGGTCACAAGTTCAAGGCTAGCCTTGGCAACTTAGCAAGACCTTCAGCAACTTAGTAAGACCCTATCTCAAAATAAAAATTAAAAGTAGATATAGCCGGATTACAGGTATTGCCACTACACCAGTCTCCTTCCTTTTTTAAAAAACCAAGCAAGTAATCTCGGAAGAAATGTGGAAAAAAGCATCCAATCCCTCTCATTTTTGTGGCTCAGGAAGGAGAGGGGTCAGTTTGAGGTCACCTGGCAGATTACCAATGAGGCCAGGTTCCCCAAATAGCATTCCTCTTTTTCTTCACATACTGGACCACTGTGGTGGAAGGTGGACAGTGAGTATTGGAAGGAAACAGAACCAGCTTAACTTTCATAGAGTGAGGAGTGTTTCTTTTCTTTTTTGCGGGGAGATACCAGGGATTAAACTGGGGGGCACTTGACTACTGAGCCCCATCCCCAGTCCTCTTTTGTATTTTATTTAGAGATAGGGTCTCATTGAGTTGCTTAGCACCTCATTTTTGCTGAGGCTGGCTTTGCACTCAAGATCCTCCTGCCTCGGCCTCCCCAGCCCTTGGGATACAGGTATGTGCCACAGTGCCTGGGTGGAGTGTTTGTTTTCAGACTGCCAGGGTTGGTCATTTGGGAGGGAAGGACACCAGGCCATAACTCTCCACCATTGGGGATCGGGGGTATAAAGAGCACTTCACAAGCCTGGTATGCTGACACATGCCTGTAATATCATCTATTTGGGAGGTTGAGACAAGAAGATTGCAAGTTTAACACTAACCTAAACAATTTAATGAGACCTGGTCTCAAAATAAAAAGGGCTATGGATACACAGCTCAGTAGTAGAGTGCTTGCCTAGCATTGCCCCAGGCTCTGGGTTCAATCTTGGGGGGGGGGGGGGGCTTGACTTTTTAAAGCTGGCTTATATGACTTGTGTTCTCTTTCCAGGCCTTCTGGTTGCCAACCATTGATGACTGACCCTGATGCTACTCAGCTATTTCTGTATAATGGGGGTGGCCAGCAGGAAAAACTCAGAGTGGACTGAGATAAGTGGGATTGGATCATTTGACTGGGCTGGACAACATCCTTTCACATGGCCTTCCCATGGATGTGCTGTACATCTGCTCAAAAGAAAAAATTACTTTGTTGAGCTTCTTAAGAACTCTTGGTGCCACCGACTCAGTTGGGACTTAGCCTTTCCAGCCATCAATGCACCAGGTTCCTCCAGAGTGACCAGACTTGTGATTAGGTTATAGTGGGGCTCTCAAAAGCACCTTCAGTTTTGAATGTATTTGCTGCTGAGGAGCCAATGAAGTCTTCAATTCTGCACATCCCTTCTCCCATCTCCATAAATGCATGGGAAGCCACAGTTCTGGTTTTAAGATGCTTGGGCAGCTCAGTGCCCCTTGCCCTCACCCTGCATGTCTTGTTACTGGGTCTCCCTGTGTAATTGTGGCATTATTCCACAGCCATCATATTTGTTAGGTGCCAAACATTTACAGAAATAAGTCTTCATATACCTTGGGGTCAAAGATAGGGACAAATACAGAAGGACCTTGCTTGTCAGGAAGTTGTGCAGTTGTCCTGTAAGGGTGGGTGGTCTGGATAGGCCCCAGGCACTGGTGTTGGGTAGGAAAAGGCTCAAGAACCTAAAAGGGAGGGAAGGGGTAGCATTGTGTTCCTCGGGCTAGAAGGTTTAGCAGCAGCCTGGTGCAGTCCCATCATCAAGATAAACCTACAGTCCTGGGTGCCTACCAAGCTTGGTTTGTACAAAAGCAAGGTAGGAGTCTATTTTTGTACCTGAGATGCATTGCTCTTTTCCTGTGGGCCAGTATTGTGGAATGAGTCTGAGTTGTTTACACTGATGCCTTCCTTCCCTGTCCACCACAATTGTGTACATAGTCTCCAGGTGACACCCCCCTTTTACCCAGCTCCCACTGAAGAGTTGGTTCTAGGCCTGTGTTATATGTTATATTTAGCCTTTTATATATGACCTTTGATTTCGGTTTGTATTTTAGCACAGTATGTGCATCTTCATTTAAATATATTTGTGCATTCATATATGCATATATATGTATGTAGGCATATATATGTATGTATGTGTGTGTGTATATATATATATACATATACATATATATATATATAAAATCACCTGTAGCTTCTCAGTTCAGCCGAAGAAGGTGGAGTCCTGCAACCCAGGAGAAAGACTGCATCCTTGCTAATAGTGTTTGCCACAAGTGTTAGTCTTCCCTGTTACCTTTTTTCCTTTGGGAAACTAAATAAAAGCAAAGCTTCTTGTGTTTGCTGTTTCCATGGCAGCTAAGTGAGGGTCTTGGGATGACTTCCTATGTTCCTCAAGCCACACTTTGGGGTCCTCTCTGCAGTATTAGTCTCTTTTTTGCCTGGTGGTGCTCTGTCTGCATCTGTATATATGTCATAGTCATCTGCATGGCTTCTGTGCCTGGCTTGCAGCATTTAGGGATGATGCTGAAACCAGAGCACTTTGTTTGTCTAAGGCTTCTTACCAATTACAGGTTACTCCCACTTAGTATGGCTACTTTCTTGCTCTTTTTCTTGAGAGGAAGAGGTTTTAGCTAGGCCCAAGTTGGGATGCTCTGTATCCAGCCCATGGCCTTTTTTTCCCCTGCATGGCCTTCTTAAGAGCAGACCAAGTGGCATGTTACTTCCTTAAGTACCCAGTGAAACATTTTATTGCAGACAACACTCCATGCAGATCCAGAAACTGAGGCCCAATAAAGTTATGACTTGCCCAAAGGTACATAGCTGCTAGGGTAAATCAAGCCATCACTGCTTCTGTTTAGCAGCAGATATAGGCTGTGAATCACTAGCACTTTCTCTTTTTTTGTTGTTTGTTGTTTAAGCAATTACTCTTGACTTTTTAATCAAAGTGAAAGGGCAAATAGGCATACACCTTTCCCAAGAGTAGACTGGAATCTGCAACTGCTACCATGCCACCCACTGTGTAGCTCTTCCTTCCCAGAATGGAGGGATTCTGAGAAACCAAATAATTTGAGCTGTTACTGCCCTCCCCTGGCTTTTCAGGGTAGAAAGTTCACATTAGGAACGGTAGAAAGTTCACATTAGGAACGGTCAGAGATGGTGCTTGAAACTGAGTTAACAAGAAAGGCTGTATAATTTCTATATATGTAACTAACAGAGAAGGAACTCTCCAGTAGTAGGAATATGATGTGTATTTGAGTTCTCAGATGTCCAAAGCTGAGGCATCATGTCCTTTGAAAACATGTCACTTCACAGCCTCTACTTTATGCCCTGTGGAGCAGAGTTGGGGAGGAATAGAAAAGATTAAGCTGGAAGTGTGGCTAGGATAAAAGGGAAAGAAAGACTGAGAGCTGGCCCTGAGTAATGTATTGCTGGGAGCTGGAGTTAGGGCCAAAGCCACTGCTTTGTATGTGACAGCAACACTGAACTGCTCAACCACCAGCCAGTGGGGATATTTTTTAAAAGTTATTCCCTATTTCAATCTTAATTAGTGCTCATTAAGGATAATTGGGGGAATTTTAAAGAATCAATTGGCCACCCAAATGGTACCACTGTTAATCTTTTGGTGTTAAATGTTCCTCTACACATTTCTGTGCATAGGTTTTTGGTGTGTTTACATAGTTGTTATTCTACTGTATATACAATTTTATGTCCCTTTTGTACTTAACATATAAACTTTTTTTTCCATGTTAACAGTCTTAAACAGAATTTTATGGGTGCAGCCTCTTCCATTGAGTTTCTGAAGTATTGTCTGCCTGGTACCCAGAGGGAGGGGGAGAGGGAGGGGATGGGTTGTCTACCTTCATTCTCTTAGCTTACATGAGGCTCCCTGTAATGCTGTGTGAATGGATTGCTGTAACCCCTGCTAGATAAGGCCTATGGGCAAGTAAGAACCCCTAGGCTCTAATAGGCAGCTACTGGGCCAGAAATGAGTGACATTTAAAGGAAAGCCCAAGCCAACCTTAATCTTCAGAACTTATCTGGCATATATGTCAGTCTGCCTTGCACATACACACACCCCACTATTTCAACCTTTGATCAGAATGACAAATTCTTGGAATATGCATTCCCTACTAGACCCTGGCTTTTGGTGGCTTCTATACCAGGTCTGGCAGAAGGCCTAGCCACTTGCTTTGGTAACTTATTGCCTAGCCTGGTGAGATGGTAATTCCTGGGGCCTGCTGCTCTAGCTTAGCATCATCAGAGCTGCAGGACCTGCTTCTGACTTTTTGAACTATAGCAGATGAAAATCCTGCCACTCTGACTACTTCTGTACCACTTTGGAGGTTGGCTAGGGACTCTGATAGAAGGATCCTTCTGGAATGGGTATAGTTGGCCTTGGATAGGTTCTCCTGACTCAAGAGTACTCAAGGAGGAAGAGACCATCATGTGGTGTGGTGGGAGAGCTGCTGCAGCTTTAGCTCTGCTGGGAAATATGAACAAATCAGTCAGAATGGCTGCCCTTGCCACCTACTCCCTGGGTCTTGGCCTTGTGCAAAGAACAAGAGCAGGAGCAGGGAGTAGCCTTTAGCTTTGTTTGGAATTGAGGCCAGCAGGCTGTGGGGGTGAGCTGGTTTAGCAGTTGATGTAGGGAAGAGGCAGGGACAGAATGTTGCCCACACTTTGCTCAGGGAGAAGGGGAAAGGCTGTGCTGAGGAAGGAGGAAGTCAGTCTCCTGTAGGCTGGTAGGCCAACATTCTGGCATTTGCCAGCTGACTGATAAGAGATGCTGTGCAGAACTTCAAGGACTAACATTTTGTTATGGCCCCAACTGGGCCCAGATTCAGGCCTGGAAATCCTGGGCTGAGGAATACAATTATATGGAAAATGGAATATATATGGTAATACTTTTTTCTGTTGAAAAACATCTGAGAAATGGAATCTCACAACTGTACAAGTTTTACCATATGTTTTACTGGATATTCTGGCTGCAGTCTAAAACTTGAATTGCCTGGCAAAAGTTACTTCAATTCTAGGAGTGAATTCAGGAATTCAGAGAAAGCTGAAGTCATGAAGGTGGTTTGCCTTGTCGTTCAAATACTACCTGAGCCTTAGTAAGTTTTAGATGCCAACAGTCTTGTGAAGAAATTGAAGCTGTTTGTCAAGCAGCAAGCCCAAGGATCTTAACAGATGTATGTTTCCTGCTAAATCCAGCTTAAAAGGAGTTTGCATTCAAAATCAAGTGAAAAAGTAACCCTTATGGTACCTAAAGCTTGAGTTCACAGTGGTAGTAAAGGCATCCTTTCTGTTTCTTGGGCAACAATGGGGGTTGGGGGGAACTCACTCAAGATTAAGAACTAGGGGGGCTTCAGAGAAAATAGTTTCAACTCTATGCAAGTTTGTATGGTAGAGCTAAAACTAATCCTCTGGAAGGTGCCCTTAATCCAAGCTGTACAAGCAGTTCACAATTCACAAGGACTCTTCTGCAAATGAACATTTAATAATAGGAATGTGATAAGAAACAAAAGCAAAGGCATTGGGGGTGAGACTAGGGCAGGCCTGGGGCCAGGGGGAAGCAGTCAGTTAGAAGGCCAGGCCAGAGGTAGTGATAAGCATTCCCTGCCTAGCCAACTCTGGAAGCTCCTCTTGCTCCTTTTTGCTCTTCCCCCAACTTTAGCTGTAGGGGCCATGCCCTCCAACAGCAGAGAACAGGGCAAAACCTAAGCTAGTGTCTCCTCCAGAGCTTTCTTCAAGATAGGTGTTCTAGCAGATGTGAGACTGCCCAAGATTTTCTTGGGGGATTGTTAAATGGATGCTCTGACATTCATGGATTGGAAAACCTGTATCCAAATACAGGCTGCTACCTCTTGTGGCATCTTTGACTAATACTCTTAATGTGGGTATCTCTTTCTAAGAATAATTCTTGGGGTATTGAGGATCCTGTCTGAGAACCCTCACAAGGGTTTCCTAAGTTGTAGGGAATCAGATCCCTCTACCAGAGTGATGTGATTATTGCAAAAGGCAGGACCTGGTGGGCTGGGCTCTTTGTACCCTTCCAGCTCTTGCTGCCTGGTATAAAAAAATCCCCTTGAAACAGATGAACCTGGGTGAGAAGCAGGAACATTGGGCTGTGGCTGGGGATGGGACAAACAGGGCCTGCTCTTGGCCATAATGGAGGCATGCCCATACTGCAATGACTGGAGTGATTCTTGGATGGATGCAGTGTCAGAATCCTCAGTAGCCACTGCCTCCTTGGCTCTGGCTGTTCAAGGGAATCACGAACACAGAGACGTCATCATAGGACACCTGCCTTTCCCCTGTGGGACTGTCGTCCTTCCCCTGTGTGCTGTGTATCAGCATTTGGGCCAACTCCGAGAACCTGTGAAGACCATCATGCAGATGTACTTTGGAGGCAGAGCAAAGGGACAAGGCCAGCCTTCCAGGAGAACTCCCTGCACAGGTTGGACACTCGGAGGACCCAAAAAAATGTAGTCCAACTATGAGCCGAGCAAACAAGTCTGGTAGGACCACAGGAATCAACCCAAAGATTTTTTTGTGTGTGTGTTTGAGCTGGGGATGGAACCCAGGACTTTGTGCATGCAAGGCAAGCACTCTACCAACTGAGGTATATTCTATTCCCTAGCCTTAAGATTTTTTTCTGACCCACAATCACTCCCCCTCCTTTCTGAGAAGTTTGAGACAGCCCTAATTGGGCTGGCTGGCAGTGCTGTTTCAGCTTAACTACTTATGTCCCTGGCATGTACATACCTGTGTGGATCCTCTCTGTTCCCAGGGAGGAAGCTCCGTACCAGCCATGCCACCTGCTCATTGGACAGGACATCCCAGAGTCCATCAGTTGCCATGACAACTACATCCTCTTCCTGCAACTCTAACTGGTCCACATCCAGCACAGTTACCTGAAAGTTAAGCCTGAGGATCCTTAAATGCTCCCTTCCTGGCTCCCACCAGGCTCACTCCCTGTCTTTACAGGCAGATGGAGGCTGGAGTGGAATACATTGTCCTCTCACCTGTGGGACAGAGAGCAAGAAGGGCTTGAGCTGGATGTTTGTGTCCAGGACTCTGAGCTGATGGTCTCCCAGTCCTCGGGAGACAGCCAGCGTTCCCAGTAACCGAGCCTGAGGAAAGAGGAGAGATGTGAGGTGATAAGACCTTGGCACTCCTGAGCACACAGGAAAGGGTGAACTGTAGACCCCAGGAGCTGTGCGTTGAAGAAGAAACATAAGGGAACAGACCCCAGGACACTAGCCACACTCCCCACTAAGGAACAAAGGAACTCCCACCTTCACAGAGCAAGTGGATGGAGATTCTGGAAGGGGGACCAGGTACTGACCTGCCT